GTGATCTGATGTTGATGTATAGAATACTAAGAGGTGATTCTAGACCTAATATATAATCTCTTTTTCTTCCCACTAGATCAGGTTATCTCAAAAGACATAACAAGCGCGTAGAAAAGCCAAGGACAGACAATATACACATGACATACAGGTTTTCACACCGAGTCATCAATACCTGATGCCCGAAGCAGTGTTCAAATGGTCTAAATGGTTGTGGACGGAATAGAAGAAGCTTTCGCTTAACAGGCTTCCGTGTCTAGTAACAGGGGATCACCGAATCCTCCAGGCAGGAACCTAGGTATGTTAACAATAAAAGAGGAAAAGAAATTGGTAAATCATAGTATGATACTGTCCTTGGTCCTTAAGAATAGGTCAAGTTGCCTCTTGAAGGACTCCTGAGAAGTCGCTTGGACTAGCTCGGCCGGCAGCGAATTCCAGCATTTGACAACTCTTAAGGAGTAGAAGTTGTGTCTACATCCCGTCTTGCTATGTTGAGTTTCCAGTTTCTGGGTGTTACCCCTTAGGTCAGTATTCGAACTAAGCTTGAGTAGGTGTTGAAGAGGATGTCCAGAATTGTTAAGAATACTATAAACCATTAATAAATCACCTCTAAGACGCCTATACTCTAATGGGTAAAGGTCTAGTGAATGGAGGCGTTCTTCGTAAGGCTTAGATTTGAGTCCGCGAACTGATTTCGTGGCTCGCCGTTGGATACGCTCCAAAGTGACCTTGTCCTTTTGGAGTGAGAGGGGGAGTACTATATTTCCGTACTCTAAATGGGGACGGATAAAACTGTTGAAGATTGTATGGAAAGTTCTTCCGTCAAACTGGCCAAAAATGCGCTTCAATGTTACCAGTGCAAGGTTTGCTTGGAAGGCATTTTTGTCACAATTAGCGTAAGACTTTAAATCATGGGGCACCAGGACTCCTAAATATTTTTCGACTTAGGATACTACTAGAGAGGAATTTCTAAAGTTATAACTGTAGTCTGCGACATGTCGCAGATGGACTACTTTACACTTTGAAGTGTTAAAGGTAAGTCCGTTATCATCTGCCCAACTTTGAAGTCGAGTCAGATCCTCCTGAAGTGCCTGTGTATCGTCTTGGTTGCGTATCTCTCTCCAAAGTTTCACGTCGTCGGCAAAAAGTAATAAGTCTGACGTCACCTGTTGAGGAAGATCGTTTATGTAGATCAAGAAGAGAAGAGGCCCTAATACTGAGCCCTGGGGGACCCCACTAGGACATTCCATAGCCTGAGATAAAGTGAAATTAACCCTAACCTTAAAATGTCGATTTTCTAGGTATGAAGTAAGCCAATCGATTAGAGGTGGTTTGATACCTAGTCGTTTGAGCTTATTGATAAGACACAAGCGGTTAACTTTATCAAAAGCTTTTGAGAAATCAAGGTATATGATATCAACCTTTCCCTTGCGATCGAGGATGCTTGTCCATCTGTCCACCGCAGTCATCAGGCTGGTTATACAAGAGTAACCCTTCCTGAAACCATGCTGTTGGGGTGAGAAGAAATTTAAGAACACTAGATAGTCGTTTAAACCATATCAGGGACTCAATGAGTTTTGAAGGTAATGACAGAAGAGCCACCGGCCGATACCTTGAAGTTTCATTGCGTCGACCCCCTTTGAAAATTGGTGTGATGTGAGCCAACTTCCAAGTTTCCGGTAGTTTGCCTTGGCTTAGCGAGTGTGAAAACATCACGCTAAGCGGCGTTGCCAGGATCGAGGCTGCCTCCCTCAGTATGGCAGAATGAACCATATCCGAGCCAGGAGAAATATCTAGTCTTAAGTGCTGCAGTTTCCGGAACACCAAGTCAGCGCTTAGGTCCACTTTGGAAAGCCCCGTGGAATCACAGGTGAAACTGTCGTCAATAGAGTTGATGTCAGCCAGCTGAGATGTTTGAGAGTAATGTGCCGCCAGAAGGTTAGTGGCGTCACCATCATTGTTGGTCGGGCCGTTAAGACCTAGCAGTTGAGAAACTCCTGTTTTGGCTTGACGAAGAGAGGCTGCATAACGGAATAGGCTTCTAGGGTTGGAGGCAAATTTGTCCATAAGCTCTGTCTGATAATGAAGCCTGTCTTCTCTTATAGCCTTCGTGCATATGTTCCTGATATGTTTAAATTGCCTATACGCTCCGTCGTTGTCAGTTCGTTTGTATTCCGCCCAACAGTGCTTTTACGGCTTAGCAGGCGAAGGGTACGGTTCTTGATTATTGTAGGTGGCTTACAGCTTTTGGGAACCGTTTGAGGAACTGAATGGTTTGTAGCACATAAGAGCGTGTGCAGTAAGAAGTCCCAATGACCGTCCACATCGAGTTGGGGGTGAACATCCCAAACCACCTGTTGTAGATAGTCATGTAGAGCTGGCACATTCAGCCGTTTAAAATTCCAACGCAAATTATTGTTGGGATACCTTAGCTTGGTTTTGGTGACAAAACTGAAGGCTATGACGGCATGATCGCTCTTTCCCAGAGGAGCCATGATTGAGAGGTTGTCAACTAGGAATTCTTCGTTTGTGAATACACAGTCTAACCGCGATGGTGTCTGACTGTTTCTCCAACGAGTTGCCGACCTCACATTTTCATATAAGCCCAAGTCGCCGATGAAGTTGAAGAAACGAACTTCAATTGAGTTGTCGCCTCCAGTATACGTGTGTTCCCCGAAGTTGACTCTAGGGAGATTGAAGTCCCCTAGAATCATGATATGTGTGAAACGGAGACGGGTAGAGCGGGATAGTCCATCCAGCATACGACTATGGTAATCGATGTCAGCAGTTGACTTCCTGTAAATGACACCGACTAGACACCTCGAAGTGCTAGACAATCTTACAGAGCACCATATGGACTCCTCAAGATTGTCAAACTCGAGGTTGTGAACTTGGTGCATCTCCAAGCAAGACCTTATGTATATGGCTACTCTGCCCCCAATTCCTGTTGTTCTGTCGTTGCGGAACGAAGTCATCCCTGGTAATGCTAACTCTTTATCCGAGAAATGAGAAGATATCCAGGTTTCAGATATTCCTATCAAGTGGGCTTTATTAGCGTTGCAAAGTTCACGTAATTCATCCAGTTTGTTTGGTAGACTCGAGGCGTTCATATATAAGCAGTTTATGCTTTCAATTTGGAACGCGTGAGCTTCGTCCTGTTTTTCCGTGTGAGCCTTATGTGAATGGACAGGTAGCCCACCTATGTGAGGTTTACCGAGGTGGTAGGCCCTGTCCTTGACACGTTTATTTCATCGTTTAGACAATCCACAAGTGGAATGGTCAGCTCCAACTTGCTTTTGTGCTTGGTCCTGGCTTCATATGGCCTATCCGGGTGCATGTGGATTCCAGGTGGTAATCGACGTCTGTTGGCACGAAATGCTTCCAGAACTGCAGCCGCCGTGTGGGAAGATGGGAAGGTTATCTTCATTAGACGGGGTCTAAGATCACCGTCCTTCTTGGCTAAACTTGTCACATGCTGAGTCAGTATGTGTTTGAGCCTCAAGGACTGTTTGATGAATTTCCATTCCCTGATGTCAGAATTTGATTGAGTAGGGTCTGCATTTTCCGGTATACCTTGCACAATTATGTTTCTTCCGCGGAAAAACTTCTCGCGAGATTCTTTAGGGATGTTTCGTATGATATTGCCTTGGGTGATTTAGATGCTTAGAGTCCTTTCCTCTCGAGAGACAGGTGACCATCAAAGGCTCTATTCTAGGAAGTTCGAGCTTCTTGTTCAATTCACCCCAGAGCATCCTGTCGTTTTTGTCCTGCAGACTGAGAGGAAGGTCAGGATTATCAACGAGATTCATGATAATGAGAGAGTCGTCACGAACTGTTGTTAATTTACCAGGTTTCACGGCGGATTCATGTTTAATGACTTGCTGTTTGGAGGTCAGTGTGCGTTTTTGAGGCTTGGGCTCTTTTTTGACCGGACGAACAATCTTGGGAGTAGACTGTGCAACCAAATCACCAGTTAATTTCCTTACAGCAACACTTGGGTTGCTCGGCTTAGGCGGTGATGCCTGGTTCTTTTGGGCTCTCTTAACGTGGGTCGAATCACCTACAGGGTTTTTGGGAACCACTGTTGAGTTCAGGGACCCTGAGCTGGGAGACCCGAGTTTGCTTAGGGAGTCTAATACCTTCGACGTAATGATGGTGCTGAGCCTCGACACATCATCATTAGTGTTGATGGATGCTCCATCGATGGTATACCTATCGACATCCCTGTTTTTGTATCCGTCGCACGCTCTTGTTTGTCTACCGGTTTTCTTACTGTCGTTGTCCAAGTTAACTGACAACTTGTTCCGAAGACCTGTCAGTAGGACAATGATGTTACTCAGCAAAACTACAGCATCCGTGCTGCACGTGACACATACCCAATTTTTGATCTGACTTGCTGAGTCTGTTGTAAGCAGTTGATGTCAGATCTGTGCATGCTTCGTAGAACCAACCTTTGCAGTTGTCGCACTGCATGCCAGTTGCAACAGCAAAACGGCATCCCGGACGTTTGCATGAGTTTTTCATGACTATGTTGAAGCAAACTATGTTATAGATGCTTACAAGAGCCTAAGACCTTTAAAAAACACTAAAAAGCACACTGAAAACGGACAAAAATGGATAAAACGAGTGTTATAAACTGAAACTAGTCTATACGTGAAAAACAAAAACAAACCGAATAGTAAACTGAGGCAGAACCACAGGTAACTATTAAATATGGTGAAACTCAAAACAAATAATAATCTACCGAACGTATAGCTCAGTATAGATTCTTTAGAACTGAAATGGTACTTTTGTTGCGTAAGAACACAGCAAAAGTTTGATAAATGCAAATCACGTTAGTACTAAACTTCCCGTTCGAAAAGCACACCTTCAGTTGACTCTTTCAAGAGAAGAATGGACACTCACAGAAGCATACTAGAAAAGAAATAGCATACGCCGTAGGACTTTCGTCCTTACTACACAAATCTGAATCTGAACCTTAACGATATATATTACATTCAATGTTCTGACCGCTACTTTCGATCTCACCGCTACTTTAGTATGTTGTCCTTGAGTAGCAAAAAGGGACTTCATAGGCTGATTTATTCATCATACTCGCGACTTTCATCTTCGAAGCCAAGGTTAGCAATGAAATTGTGTTAATATAACTTTAGCCAACCTTCAAAAGTTGATAGTTCTGATGAGTCCATCCCGTTCAAACCGTACAGTCCTTTTCCAAAACCACAAGGGAAAATAGACTATGTTATTACCCGGCTTGATGATTTAGCAGACTGGGCTAGGAAAGTGGGGTCAATTTTTATTATTTCACTCCGTAGAACTCAATATATCCGCTTACTTTCGGTCTTGCATGCTGCGCTGTTGAAATGATGCATATCGCTGGGCCTCGTTATGACATGGATCGTTATGGGGTAGTTTTTCGGGCTAGCCCACGTCAAGCTGACCTTTTAATCGTTTCCGGAACTGTTACGAACAAGATGGCCCCGGCTCTTCACAGAATTTACGCCCAAATGACTCAACCGAAGTGGGTTATTTCAATGGGCTCTTGTGCAAATGGTGGTGGTTACTATCACTATTCATATAGTGTTGTACGTGGCTGTGATCGAATTATTCCGGTTGATATATATGTCCCAGGTAAGTTGTTGTTAGATTGTTCATTTTGTTCGCAGTTGGACCTACCAGATTTTTTAAAATTTAACTTGCTAGCCACAAACTAGAAAGCCTAACCTAATTCCATTAAATAAATCATGCTCAGAAGGGAAAAACATAGACAGTTCTTGGATTGATTACCTACCCGTGTACTCGACTACGAGAGATACTTCTATGAAGACTAAAAATACTACCTGGCTACTTATTTAACAGTTGGGGAGTAGTGTGGATATATATAGAGCATATCTCGGTCACTAGTCGGTGAATATTCACATCCTCATCAGACATGTATCATTTCCATCTAGTAGCCTGCGAGTAGCTTCAGCATTATTCACGTGGTGGTTGGACTATACACATGCAAAACCGTCGTGACAACTACCAACAATCTACACATATCTTAAACCCTCAGATACCACTTCACATGCGTAAATATAGGGTTAGCTGCTGCCTACCGTATCCTTTCTTTTGTTAAGCGAATGGGGATGTATCGTGTTTAGTTACTTTAACAATAATCAGTTATATATGACTAATAATTTATTTAGGTGACAACCATTTAATTGAGTAAATAACACTGACCTAATCATAGTTTGAAATGTTTTACACGCTCATTCTGTGGATTCAAGCTTAGCCATCATCAATATTGATTAAAAGGTTTAAAGAAACCAACCTATGATTTCCGACTAAAGTCGTATTCAGATGCCGTATTATTCGAAGCCATTCAATATTTTCAATACCATTAGTTTTTTGTTGTTGATTCTTTGATTCACTGTACCAGTACGAATTATAACAACTTGAGGCTTCATACCTTTGTGCTAGGTTATACGATTTTCATGACTAACTGATTTAAAGGTCCCATGTTAACTTAATGCAGACTTTTTCGGTGAGACTATGATTTATAGACGACGTTTGAGCGACGCTGAAGTGACCTTGAGAGTATTCACTCAATAACTAGCATCAAATGAGGGTTATAAACCAGTGTGAGGAATGAAAGTTATTATTTACAGTTTATGGTTAATTATAAGGGATTAGATTCAAGGTTTTCATCACCATCATCAGCTATAATGCCTAAACTGTTTAGCCAAATGGATGGGTGAATCTCGTGCCAAAATCCGAAGCCTGTTATCTTCTACCTGATTGGTTCGTCCATAAATTATAGTCTCGCCACTTTTTCAATGAGATCAAATACGTTAAAATTGTAAGCTCAAATTATTTAGTCACAGTTAAGTTCTACTATATGTCTAGCTAATTTAAGCACTAAATAGTAAGCCTAATGTTGAACTATTGTGTCAAATCGGGCTCATTCTTCTACTTGAAAGTAACAATAATATTCTTATTTATTTCTTTTTAATGTTAGGTTGTCCTCCATCTGCAGAAGCGCTGATGTATTCTATATTACAACTGCAAAAAAAAATTAAATCTGAAAAACACATTAAATCATGGTATAGGAAATAAATGATGAATTTATCTTAAATGAAAAGAGAATTTTCAGAACTGAATTGTAACTCACTTTCCAAAATTGATTCATACATTAGTGTTTACCTGTATTTATTATAGAAAACCAAACCTTTCTAGATACACATGTGTTTATCTGCTCAAATTTACGTACCACTTTTGGGGTAAGATGTGGGTTGCACATCTGTTGTATTCTTCGGACGATATTAGTTAACTTTTCCAGCCAGCATCCATCCTGACTCTCAGTGGTGACTAGCGTCTAAGTTGGTTGAAAGAAAACTAAGGAACGTTAAACCAAGCAATGATATCGATTCATTATATTATTAACTGCTTACATTGGTTGTCTTGAGAATCACATACTTCATTATGGTTCGCGCACTAATCGTGAATCTCGAGTGATATAACTGATAATCAGTTGTAAAAGGTCAGTCGCATTCATCCATTTTTTAAGTGTCATAATAGGCACGTTTCTCTCTGATCTTCCAATGTATATGACTTGATTCGTACATATGAACTAGTGGATACTATTCAATCAAAATATTTTTCTGTTATGTTGGGGAGGGGTAAGTTACAATCGACAAATGAGTGTGTGGTTATTTTTGATTGGCCCAACAGCAGAGTAACTTACTCAGACTGCGTAACAGTATAAGTCAAAGTCTAGGGCAGATAGATTTATACGGTATCAAACAAAAAGCCTAGGATGTTGATATCTAATTTTTTCACTTATAAAACTATTCACTTTAGTACTTCGAACACTTCAAATTCAGATGAATAACTTCCAACGATAAAAAACAGAGATTTACTAACTGACTAAACAAGCGGCTTGTTCGTTAGAAAATACTCTGAACACGGCATATCACTGAACCATACCCTAAAAAAATCATATATACTCCCAATAAAGCTTTTTAGACTTTAAACTGTATGGATAATTGATGAATGCTTAAAAATTTTGTTTTTGAAATAGTTCATATAATAAGTCATTATATTTTATAAAGAAATACATTATAATGACTATATTGTACTGTTCAAAATTTGAAATGTTTTGTATTATCAATGCAGTAATTGATTTAAACTAGATAATCTATTGGTTATTTTGAAGACGTGTCAAATAGTTGCGAATTCTTTATCGAAGAAATAACGTTTTATTTTAAAAAAAAACTAATAAAAATCACACATTTAAATAGAATCAACTAAAAAGTGGCATTTATTTGATAATGAAGTGTTATCGATAACAATTAAGAGGAACACTTTCAATGGAAAAGAGAAATCATCACTGGCAGTTTAAACATTTTGACTGAATACAATAAAGTTGGCATATTAAAAAGTGTCACAGTTTTAATTTAAGCATTCGAATTTCCGAACAACAAAACTATTGATTATTCTTTACAACAACAGTCTGGGTTACATATTTGTATACTGATTTGAGTGTATTTGAATTCAAGAAAATCTAGAGAACGTCAAAAAGGTTGGAATTCATCAATAAAGAAAGCAGTGGTTATATAGAATAAAACATCTAGACCGACCAAATATTCAACGTTTAGTAGAATTCAACTTGAGAATTGATTTTTAACACTAACTGATTCACAGTTGTGTACGTTAAGTTTTTTAACTTGTCATTTTGATTACCTTCCTAATTGTGACTATGACACTAATAATACTGTTTTCGACCGTTGCTGCAATCTTGACTTAGCGGTTGAACTTGCCTATCATGGTGATTTAGTTGAGCTATACTGGCTGGGACAATCGTTCCTCAAGGCGTTCCCGCAAAGAAAGGGTTGATTGTAGAAATACACACTTCGCCATGTCCCATGGATATCCGTCTCCGGCGATAAGGTGTCAACAAGTAACACAGAATGGTTGTGTTTGACCGGCCACAAACAGTTGATTTTTATCCGAGTTTTATTGACTCTGACATATTAATTAGTTTACTAATATTAATGGCTTTACTAAATATTTTATTTATGATACAACATAGAATTCTCAACACAAGGTATTTCAAAAAGTTTCTTTTACAAAAAATGTGGAGGAAACTGATAACAGCTTACATTTATGCATAATTTAAGCAGATAAACTACCTGGAACTAAACGCAATGTTTTTAAAGGGATTTGAATCTCCACAATTTTTTTTTCAATTCGAAACATGTTTAGGAATACAGGCTATTGACTAGGTTAACTCTAACAATCTGTTCGTCACATAGTATATTTGGTTTCGGATGTATTGAAGTCTCGTTCTATCAGAAGATATGCAACGAGAAATATATGAATGAAGGGGATGTTAGTATCTGATAAAATAACACCTGCCAAGAATTCGCAATACCTTACATGTCTATCAACAGCTATACTAATAATGATCTCTAAAGACTCACCGTACATTCTGCTAACTGCCTTCAGCACTCCGCGATACTGAAAATTCTTTTCTAAAAAGTCCGGGAAAGAATAATGGAGAACAGTAAAGAATAATAGGTAATATACAAGAATCGACAAGTTTTAGGAGTAAATGTCGACTAGTCCCAGAAGCATGTAGCCTCTTTATGTAGTAAGTCAGACAGAAAACTTTCTTCGATAACAATGAAACGTGAGGTGACCAAGAGGAAAGGTTGCACTAAGAAACATAACTTTCGACACTGAGTTTATCAAATAATTTCCAATGATACAACAGTGTGTATAAGGGCTGTCAATGTTCCAAACTAAAGTTGACATTTAAACGGATTGAGTATGAGACAATTAAAAACAGACCACGATACGAGATAAGGATTCATCCATTTCAAGCGGATGTAAAGAAGTAGAAATCGGCATACTTACAGCGAAATCGTCCGCATATTTAGCGAAAGTGTTTTCTACGGATGATGGCAGATCATGCAAAAAAAGAGAAGAGGGGAGAAGCAGCTCCTTGTGACACACCATGAGACGGTACAGATGTCGAACACCTTCCAAACACAGTGTACTTTCCACTTCGAGAGAGGTAGAAACATAGCCAGTTGGCCATCCAGCTGTCATTGTTGACGCTGGTTGGCATGTTAAGTAGTTGTGGAATAGAGTCAGAGGCATAATTATAGTTCAGAAAAATGCATCGAACATACTTTTTACCCTTTTCCACACTGAACACTATTATAGTGCAGAACAACAGCAGCATCTTAAGTGCTGGTTTTGCATTTGCGAGCAAACTAATAAGGATTAGTGTGCTCTTTTAGTGTAGGTTGGAGTGAGGTTATCAATAATTTTTCCATTGATTTGAGAAAATGTGAAGTTATTGCCGTGGTTCTAAATTTCGCATTCCTATAATCAGATACTTTTTTAAGCATTGGGATTGTTGTTTTCTCTACACTTTTGCCGAGATTAGATGCGGAGGATCTGTTAAAAATGCTCGTTAGTGGATAACAAGCAATGTTAGTACACTTTTAAGAAAGGAGGTTTGGGATTTCATCAGTTTCTAAACATTTGAGCGAGTCAAGTGACTGGAGTCATTTTTGGAGATCAGTTTCAGTGAAACTTGGAACATAACTATTCTACAAACCTGTGTTGATAGGAAGCATGCCATCAGATATATGTTTAAGTCATAAACAGTCAGCCAGTTATCTCTTCTAATTTGTCTCTCACCTATAAGTTCTTTAAGTAGTTTCCACACACTTGAAGAGTTTTTACAAGATAGGAGTTTCTGAGTAAACACTGAGTTCAGACATCTAACCCATAGGTTTGTTAGACCCTTTAGCTTTCTAAGTTAAATGTGGTTTTTCACTTTGCACATTCTTACTTTTGCCCTCCATAATCGTTCTAGAAGTGAAAATATAAGTCGATCAAAACTTACAGAAGTGGTTTCAGTTGGACAACAAATGTCAAAACAACTCAAGATAAGAAGTAATGACATTAACTGTGTTTTCCAGCGAGCCATCTGTAAATAATTTCCAGTTGATTTAAAGAAACATGTTTTTCAGATTTTGGATATTTTCTTCTGAGTAATTACTGTATTCAACTTTTTTTGTCTTGTGTAAGAGCTTACTTTTTCCAAGTCTGTCCTATAATTTTAGTGGGATGCAAACTGTACAGTAATTCGAACTAGACAGTAATGCACACTTACGAGTTACATATGTTCCCATATCATTATTGAAGACAAAATCTAAATGCGCTTCCAAACGAGTGGGGACATCTATAACATTTTGGTGGCCTAGTTCCGAAAGAAAGCTACAATTACATGAATACAAATCACCACATACAATTTAAAATGAATCACTGAAGGCAGTAACAGCAAATTCAGTAAATCCATCAGCGAAACCAGATTGTGATGATATGCAGTCTAGAGTCACGTAGATGTCGGTAACATAAACATAATTGTATTTATCCAAGTGTCTTGTAGGGCACCTTGAAGATGAACGGTCGATAAGGTAGTTTGAAATCTAGAAACACACAAAAGTAGACCGACACCAGTTCATATTTACAAACTTCGACACATCGCTGCCACATCTTTTTCTATTGCATGATCGATCCTGAAAATGAATATAGAAATCTTGTGGTAATACTAAGCAATAGTTCTGTAAATCACCTGACGAAAATTTTTCAGTCGTAATTACACTGCAACCACGATATATGTTTAGACTTAGTAGAAATTGGAGACACTCCACCTTGTTAATTAGTGATTGACAGTTAGGATTTTCAGATTTGTGTAGTAAGGATAGAAGGTCTATGGCCTATGTTATCCCTTTTCCAGTATGCTTCTATGAGTGTCCAGTCTTCTCTTGAAAGAGTCAATTGAAGGTGCGGACACCACTGCTTCAGACAGCAAGTTCCAAGTATTGATGACGCGGTGTGAAAACCTGTGTGCCACGGGTATTTTGTTCTTTCTTGACTTTTCTACTAGCCTGCTATGTCCTTTAAGGTGTCCCGATCTAGTGGGAAGAAAGAGAGAATAAGTTAGGTCTGAAATCGTTTCTCAGTATTCTGTGAATCAAAATTAGATCTCCTCTTAGTCTGCAGTAGACTGAAGAATCAAAATATGATTAATGTTCACCAACTGCAATGTATATTTTCAGCCACCACGATGTCGCTGATTGTACTTTTTTGTAAGTTGTAAAGTGAAAGGTCGTACACTTTTCATAAATGCGATTGAATGGGTTGTGCAATTTATAGACATAATAGTGTGTTAAAACAAA